ATGCGGGAGGTTGCACTATTTCTCTTCATCACTCATGATCCCAGTATTAAAACCAGAACTTCTTACAAAACTCAGAATGTTCTTACTATCACTAATAAACTGTGGTGCATCTTGGACCTCCAGGGACATCATGAGAAGCACTGCCATGAAATTATTAGGTTTTCTGTTCTCCAACTGCCCTGTCTCAATACTTATCACCCAATCAGAGGCAAATATTGGACAGACACACTGGTTCTAAAATGAAATCCTGGCCTATGATGATTTCTTCAGCAGACCATTCCCGCGGCTACCTGGGCTGTGACTGGGCCATGGGTTCGTTTCCTTGGCAACCTTTCCTTGTAGTGACCACTATTTAGTTAACCTTCCAGGATGCAGCAGTGGTGTGAACCCCTGGAGCAGGGGGCAGGAAGCACGGTGTTAGGAAGGTCCCTTACATTGTCCTGGCTTCAGCCCCCTCATCTGTAAAATGCAGGGAATGTCCAGTTCACCAGAGAATGCATAGGGCCAACCCACTGGCTAAAGTCTACAAAGCCCTGATGACACCAAGTAGGGCCCAGGTGGGGCCATATTACTAGAAGTCTCATGCCCAGCATGAAGGAGGTGACCAGGATACTCTTTGTACTTTGCCCAGTCTGTCCACTTCTTGGAAAACCCCATTTTGGCCAAGCCTCACCTGTTAAGGGGATGTACACAAGAGGGCAGCCAGGATGTATGGATGCTCAGAACCTAGTCATGAGAAAATAAATGAAGGAACTGCAGATTTTAAATCCGAAAAGTTATCATGAGCAAGGATATGGTAACTGTCTTTGAAATTCTGAAGGCCTGCCTTGTGGAAAACAGTATTTTCCTAGCTCTAAATGACACCAAAGGGCGGGGTCAGTGGATTGAAACTGTGGGAAGGCAAATTTCAAGGCTCAACAGAACACAGAGTGCTCCAACCGTCAGCACTAATGGAAGGCGAGAGATTGGGGAAAGCAGGGGCCGGGACACCCCTCGGCTGTATGACCTTCTTGGGTTACCGTGCCGGGTCGGGGAGAAGTTGAGGTGAGGCTCCAAGGCCCCTCCTAGGAGTCCCTGAACCTAATCTGAAATGATTTCCCTCCCCCAGGGTGACCACCAGCAATGCTGTGAGCTTCCAGAAGCATCGCTGGAAGACGGCAGCAGCTGGTCTTCCCATCCCCAAGAACCCCCACAATCTATGTCCCCCCTTCCCAACGCGAAGGTCTGGAAGGGACTTAATCTGTCCAACTTTTCTCATTGTTGAACAAGCCATACGCCACGTTCCCGCTACTCTCCAAGATCTTCACAGCAGAATTCCCTGTGTGCCTCGTCTGCCCCCACCTCCTACCCGTCCCCCCCCCCCAGTCCCAATTTCCATCTCTCTCATGTGCAGAGCACAGCAGGGGACAGCTGTGGCCAGCACAATGAGCATACCCAGACAGCCCTGCCCAGGGTTGTAGCGTACCTGAGTCAGCGCAGCCCACGAACCCCTGGGACCACAGGGATGCCAGGTGTAGTGATGAAGCTACGTGTCCCTCCTCTTAGTGTTGTGAGACGGCTGCTTAGGGAAGCCTCTCCCCGAGGAAAGGGAAGGTGCCATGGGATGGCTGCTTGCTGAGGAGGGAGGTAGGGGACTAGAGGAAGGGTTGGAGGATGTGGAGAAGGGAGGGTGTCAATGCGAAGGCAGTCTTCGCCCACCCACAGGGGCCGTGTCGCCGTAGCATGTGAGCGGGGAAGAGGTCTGGCAGAGTCCGCTGCGGGGGTGAAGTTCCTTTAGGCAGTTCTGGAACCGACGGGAGGGAAGGCCCCGGGGCTCTGGAGCAAGCCCTTGGGTTAGGATTTATTTGCTGTAAATCATTGCCCTGGGCAACGTTAACAGCTCTAACTGTAAAAGAAGACAATAATGGTACTTCCTTAGTCTGTTCAGGCTGCTATAACAAAATACCCTAGACTGGATCATTTATAAACAACAGACATTTCTCGCTCACAGTTCTGGAGCCTGGAAAGTCCAAGATCAAGGCGCCAGCAGACTCGGTGTCTGGGGAGGGCCTGTTTCCCGTAGATGGCGGCTTCTGTGTGTTCTCACAAGGCAGAGAGGGCGAACGGCTCCCTTGAACCTCTTTTATAGGGTCACTAATCTCATTCATGAGGGCTCTGCCCTGGTGACTTCATCACCTCTTAATATTAATGCTATCACTTTGGCGATTAAGTTCCACATATGAACTTTGGGAGGACACAGTCAGACCCCAGCAGGTACCTAACTCCTAAAATTGAGAGCGTGATGACACCCATTGTCTTAAGTTGACCTACAGGAAACTGCTGATACATGGTCACTCTTCAACAACAAAAAACGGCAGCTTCATGTGGATCAACCCGATGCCTGACGGTTGGACTAGCACAGCAGTTCACAAACTTTACATCCTGGAATTACTCTGGGATCTTTTAAAAATTCTGAAGCCCAGACCAATTCAATCACAATTTCTGCAGGTGGGACACCTGGCCAGGTGATTCTAATGTGCAGACAGGTTGGGGACGGCTCGCTTAGCGGAACACTTGGGATCTCAACGTCAGCCATCTCTGCTTTTCATCCATGTATTATTTATTGAGCACCTACTGCATGCCCGGCTCTGGCTGGGCTTGTCCCGTGTTACCCGGACCTCCCTCCCCAGCCGCTGACCTCTCCCCTTCCCCTCCTCCCCTCCGCAGTGTCCAGGCCGCGCAGCTCCCCCGACGACCTGAAGGCGCTGACTCGGAACGTGAACCGGCTGAACGAGAGCTTCCGGGACTTGCAGCTGCGGCTGCTGCAGGCTCCGCTGCAGGCGGACCTGAGCGAGCAGGTGTGGAAGGTGCAGGACGCGCTGCAGAACCAGTCGGACTCGCTGCTGGCGCTGGCGGGCGCGGTGCAGCGGCTGGAGGGCGCGCTGTGGGGGCTGCACGCGCAGGCGGCGCAGACGGAGCAGGCGGTGGCCCTGCTGCGCGACCGCACGGGCCAGCAGAGCGACGCGGCGCAGCTGGAGCTGTACCAGCTGCAGGTGGAGAGCAACGGCAGCCAGCTGCTGCTGCGGCGCCACGCGGGCCTGCTGGACGGGCTGGCGCGCAGAGTGGGCGTGCTGGGCGAGGAGCTGGCCGACGTGGGCGGCGCGCTGCGCGGCCTCAACCACAGCCTGTCCTACGACGTGGCCCTGCACCGCACGCGGCTGCAGGACCTGCAGGTGCTGGTGAGCAACGCCAGCGAGGACACGCGCCGCATGCGGCTGGCGCACCTGGGCATGGAGCTGCAGCTTAAGCAGGAGCTGGCCATGCTCAACGCCGTCACCGAGGACCTGCGCCTCAAGGACTGGGAGCACTCCATCGCGCTGAGGAACATCTCCCTGGCCAAAGGTACCGCCTGGCCCGCAGCCCGCAGTGCCTCCAGGGCCCCTCCTGCCCAGGTCTTCCTCCTGCACATCCCTCACCGCGTCCCCTGCGTCTGCCATCCCCAAGTACGCTGGCCATTCCCAGCCCATACCCTCTCCTTTAAGTCCTGCCTCACAGGACTCTGGAATTTTCTGCCCAAATGGCCTGTGCCTACTTCCAAGGCCTGTATAGGCCTCTCCCCTTGGTATAAAGTTCCCTAGGGCCGAGGGTGGGCGCAGTGACCACACCCCTAGGCATGAGAATTAGCACCAAGGGTGGTCAGAACTTGGAGGGGCCTGCTGGGGCCTCTAAGAGCTTGGGGGAGAGCGAGAAGACCCCCGGTTTCACAGTGTTCCCATGGGAAGAACTCCAAGGTGGTGGAGAAGTCCCAATTTGAACTTGGCTTTCCAGGTAGAAGAACATAGTTCATTTCACAACGTATTATTAATAGTTTCATTTGTAATTGTTAACTACAACTGCAAAAATGTGGGGCCTCCACAGCTCTTGCCGTGGGCCTGCGAACGTGAGAGCCTAGAGACCCAACCTCCTTTCTTCACCCCTGACAAACTGGTCCCCTCAGCCCTGCCCCGTTCCTTCCCACCGCACACACCCGGAGAGGCGCCTCACGTGGAATGCACTCTCCCCCCATCACCCCCTGCTCGAAACTCACCATGGCTCCCCAAGTTCTGCTGGTTTCATTAAAAACTCCCTAGCCTGACAGCTGGAGTCCTATAGGGCAAGACTTAAAAGAGCACTAATAATGCCACTTTGAGCACCTATTGTGTGTCAGACACTGCGCCAAGTGTATCTCACACGGCATCTTTAGAAACAGCAGCTCTCTGGGGCCGTGGTGTTGGGCCCATTTTGTAGGCAAGCCATCAGCAGCGTCCCTGCCCCGTCTGTTTTCTGGTCCTGGGTCACTTTGGGCGTTTGCATCTCAGAAATCAAAGGAGGGTAGGAGGTAGAATTTCTTCTCCCAAATCCACGCCCATGGGATCTTAGCTTTTCCTTTCTTCTCTTTTCCTCGACCTCCCCTGCCCCTGCAGTCTGTTCAGGTACTTATTGGTGATAGTAGCTTCACTGAATTATGGCCTACGGAGAGACAGATGTTTTGTAGACATTAATTTTCCAGATAGATGTTCAAGACCGCTCATCCTCATGTCCTGCAAAAAGGTATTGTTGTCCCCACTTGATAGATGAGACACTTGAATAACTGTCCCACTGTTTCTAATGCAGTTGGCAAGCGACAAAGCCAACAAGTGCTAAACAAGGGTCCGTCTGGCCCAGAAACCCAGCTGTTGTCCCCGACCATCCTGCTTCCCAGGTATAAGCAATGCAGAGAGAAAACAGCGTGGTCCCTTGGGCTCCATTCCCGTATTTGGGGGCACTTTCCCTGTCCTTCCTCTTCCAGGCGACAGGCATCACCGTGCTTCCTGCGAGGGCATCCCCCAGGCCTCCCTGAACACTGCACAGCTGCGTTCTTCCGTCTCCAAGTCCACTCTCCTTAGCTCAAACCGAAACTGCTCTAGGTCACTCATTTGCCAGGGTTCTCCAGGGGAGCCCTCCACGTCGTCTCTCTTTGATTCTCAAACTAAGTTTAACACTCTGTTCTCTCGAACTGAGAGTTTCGTCCTGATCCTGCCCGGGCCTGCCAGGTCTTCAAGCTCTGGATGGTCGACCGGTGTGTTAGTCTGTTCAGGCTGTGTAACAAAACACCACACACTGGGTGGCTTATAAACAACAGACGCTTATTTCTCACAGTTCTGGGACCAGGAAGTTCAAAATCAAGGTGCCGGCAGATTCGGTGTCTGTTGAGGGCCCTCCTTTCTGATTCCGAGATGGCGTGTTCTTGCCGTGTCCTCTTGGGGGAAGGGATGAGACAGCTCACTGGGTCTCTTTTATAAGGACACTGATCCCATTTGACCTAGTCCCATCCCAAAGGCCACCTCTTGATCCTATCGCCCTGCGGATTAGGTTTCAAGAGGAATTTCAGGGGGACACAGACATTCAGGCCATAGCACTGGGGCTCCCGGCTTGTCACAGTTGAGCAACACTTGGCCCCTCCGGCTCTCAGTATCGCCGCTGTATCTGGGACCACCCCTTCCCGCCTCCCTCTCTCACTGTTGCCAGGGACCTGATGGTCAGGATTTACAAGACTTCTGCGGGCATGTCTGCATGTAATCACCATTCAACTCTAACAAGACGAAACTCTGCCCTGGCATCGGACGAGGATGTTTTACCAGATGCGCTTTCCTGCGTTCCCACGCTGCTGTCTAGAGTGGCCTTTCTGTCCTAGCTTTGTGCAGTTCTTCTCTTAAGGTCTTTAAACACACACATACATAATACACATACACACACACATACGTGTATATACACATACATGCATATACACATGCACTATGCATGGACATATATACACATGCATTCACGTATGTATATGCACACATAATACATATACACACATACACACACACACATATACTATTTTGCAGTGAGCATGTCTATGCAAACCTACCCCAAAAGTCTGAGGAAGCTGAGAGGCCAAGGAAAGAGGCTGACAAATCCATATTTTTTTTGAAAGAAACATTTAACAGGGACTTCCAAACAGAAGCCATGTCCCGGGGCGGCTACCCTCAGACCAGGGCTCAGGTACCACAGGGGAGGAGTGTGTAGGACCATTGAAGTCGACCCCTGGGGGAAGACGCGAATGCTATGTGGATCTGCCTAAGGGCAGGATTCATGGTCAAGATGGTTTTGACCTAAGGGCAGGATTTATAGTAACAGTAGATGAAATAGAAATCTTAGAGGGATTCCCAGAACTGGGCTTAATAGGAAGTCAATGTGGTGGATTAGCATCCGCCTATATATATACACATACAGACACATACATGGACACACACACATGCATAGGCAGATGCATGTACATGCATGCACACACATACCTGCACACACATGCATATGCATACATATACGCACATGTGTGCACAAACACATGTGTGTACATGTATACATACATGAACCACTCTCTCACTCTTTGCCCTTTCCTGGCTCGGAATCCACAGATACCCAACAATGTGTATTTTTCAAACATGAGCTTATTTACATTATTCTCGAGCTTGACCCAAATGGTTTTTATTCCCTCACTTTGTTATACAGTTTTCTATGAGCTTTGTCTCCGGTTTGTCTTTGCGGATATCCATAGTGCGGCTTTGTGTTTTCTGTTTTGGATTTTTAGCATTAACCCCGTCTGTTGAAATCTGTCTGTGGGTTTGAAAGCAGCAGAGAATGTAGATTATCAAGGCGGGGAGGCGGCCCAGGAGGGGAGGTGTGAGCGAAGCCTGCAGGCACTGCCCCTCGCCCACATTCGGATGGCTGTTCGCTAGGTTGCAAGTTTTCCAGAATCCTGGAATGTGGAGTGGTGCTAGATCTCTGACACCGTCTGGTCCGATCCTCTTGTTTTGCAGTTGGGGACCCCTGAGGCCCAGAGAGGGCAAATGACTTGCCCAAGTCAAAGACTGAGCCAGTGGCCCAGCTGGGACTAGAACATACATCTCTGGATTCGTGAAAACAAGTTTGCAAAGCAGATTCATCTGTGGGCTGCTTTTTCAAGAAAAAACACAATCTGGCAGAGAGTCCAGTTCAACAGATATTTGTAAAGGCATGGAGGAGCGGGGTGGGGTTCGGATTCCAGGCTGATCGTGGGACTTTGGCTTCTATTAATAGTTGGTTAGTAGGGTCTGTTGAAGGTCTGCGGGGCATCTCTGAAGCGAGCGACATGGAAAGTAGCGTTGCCACTCTACTAGGGATCGGGAAGTGTGACCCGGGCGGAGATCCCCGGGGGTCTCTCCTTCCACCCCCAGCTCTGCTGGGCAGGGAGCAGGGCTGTCCCCTACCCTGCCGCCACACTCTTTACCCTTGAGGCCCAGAGGACCACAGCCAGGGGCAGTCCCTGCTCCTGTTTGGGCCCGAGTCTTCTTGGCTGTGATGTGGGGCTGGCGGTCCCTTCCCCAACCACTTCTCTGTCAGCGCCCTGGGGTTCACATGGTCCTGGGGACGGGGTTTACCTTACGATTGTGGTCGCCATACTGCTGGCTTCAGGCCGGGTTCATTGTTTGTCTTGATTATTTGTTCTTGACGGGTCACCCTGATTCCAGCACATGCAGGCCCCGGCCCCCATCACGTGTGCCAGGGTCCGGGAAGGGAGAAGGGGTAGCTTTTCTCTCCCATCGGCTGCTCCCCAGGAAAACCCTGGTGCTTCTCCCGAATTCTCTGTCACGGATGCTCCATTCTGTTCAGAAGAAGCTGTCGGCAGGCGCATTGCACTGGCAGCCAAGCAAGGGCAGAGCTGCACTGCGGGCTGCGTGAGGGCGGGGGGCTAGACGGGCGGGCAGGCCCTGAGAGGGGACCCCAGGAGGCTGCTCCTCCTTGTCCTGCACACCCTGGCGATGGACAAGATGAGGACTGTGATGGTGTAAAACGTTGCGAAGTGGAAAAGCTCACCTGGGTTCCCGCTAGGGAGGCCTGGAGGATGCGGAGAAGGGAGAAGCGGGGTGGGGTCCATCCCAGCGACGGAGATCCAGGCACCCTCTCTGGTTCCCTTTGCTGCAGCCTTGACCTCGAGGGGAGGTGGCCAGAACGGAGCCTTTTACTGTGTAATCTCAGGCCCGTTCCCAGCGTGCTCTGTCTCAACCCTGTGGTCTGAAAACTGGGAACAGTGTGACCAGCCTAACTTTGCTTTTCTTCACAGAAAAGAGGAAAATGGCTACAAAACCAGGTCCTCCTTAAGTGATTTATATAACTTGTGCATTTAAGCACCGTTGATTGCCTTTTCCCTGTGCCTGCGCCATTGAATTGTTTTAAACAACTGTCAGCTTCAGTTAGGGTCTGAGGACAGTGCCAGCTCGTGCAACGTATCAGTACATCTCGATCTTGGCTGCTTGGTTGTTTTGTGTGTGTTATTAACACCCTCTGATCTCACATACTCATTCATTCACCAAATATTTATTGTGCAAGACGCTGCTGCTATGCTGTGAGCGTGCGTGTTTTGGTTTCCTGGGGCTGCCGCACCACAAACTCAGTGGCTCGACAGAAGTTTATTTTCTCACAGTTCTGGAGGCCGGAAGTCTGAAGTCAAGGTGTCCGCAGGGCTAAGTTCCCTTAGCAAGCTCTAGAGGAGGGTCCTTGCCGGCCTCTTCCTAACCCGCGCGGTTGCGGGTGATCCTTGGCTTGTGGACGCATCACTGCAGTCTGCGCCTCTGTTGTCACGTTGTGTTCTGCTCACATCTCTGCGTCTCTGTTTTCTCTTTTTATGAGGACACCAGTCGTTGGACGAGGGTCCACCCTACTCCAGTCCTGATCTCAACTAATTACATCTGCAAAGACCCTATTTCCAAATAAGGTCACATACTGAGGTTCTGGGTAGACATGAATTGGGGTGCGGAGGGGATGCTGCACCACCCAGTCCAGTGTGACTCGATCCTCCTCTGATCTTGCGAAGCAGCAGGAGGCAGGAGCCTGAGTCTGGGCCTTCACAGCTGGGACAGGGATGGAAAGGACATAGTCCTGTTTCAGGGCACTGGCAATTTTGTTAGAAAGGAGAGAACACATTCCGTATGACGACGGGACAAAGCAGTGGAGATAACAGTCAACTGGCACCACAGACGTGCACTCAAGCAGGTCGTGACTACTTTCAGCAGGACCGATGGGTCAGGGAAGGTTCCACCAGGAAGGTGGCAGTGAGCAGCCTCAGGGGCTGGCAGTGACCAGGGGGTGGCAGGGAGGGCTCATGGGCTCGCCAGCCTGGGAGCAGCAGGTGCGGGGATGGGCGGCAGGAAGGCTCTGAGAATGGCGAGACCCTGGGTGTGGCAGAGAGGACGGGGGCCCGTCAGACCTTCGCTTGCTGTCCGACTGTGTCGTCTCAGCCACATAACTTAACACACAGTGCTGTCGTGGGGACTGAGTGCAGTCACGTATGCTGGGATCCCTGCCACGCCGGAGCCCGGCCTGGAAGGCAGCCCCACGCAGCAGTGGTCAGAAACCCCACTTCCATCCAGAAATCCGAGCAGGATCCTGGCCTCTTCCTGCCCCGCCTTCAACATCGAGCCAAAGTCAGTCCCTTCTACTTTCTACACAGCATTGAGTGTGTCCCTGTCGTCCCTCTGACAGCCGCTTCCCCCATCCAGGGCTCTGCCGCCTCTCACCTGGATGCATTGCAGCCCGCGCCGCGCCCCCCTCCATCCCGACCCACTTCCACCCGGCAGCCGGAGCCGCCACGCCACGTGCAGATCTGACCGGGCCCCTCCCGCGGCTCCTGTGCCCGGGGTCAGGGCTGAGTCCAGCCTTCAGGCCAGGCCTCCACAACCCCCCCTTTTTTGCTGTGTGCCCCCAGCTTCTTATCCCACCATGGTTCCCACATCTCTCTCTGCCCTTTCAGCCCTTGTAGGGATTGTGGCCTCTGCCTGGAACTCTTCCTTTTCTTGCTGTCTCAGCCCAGGCTGCCTTAACAAAATGCCATGGACTGAGCGGCTTAAAAAAAGGCATTTCTTTCTTTCTCATGGTTCTGGAGGCTGGAAGTCCAAAAGCAGAGTGCTGGCAGGGTCCAGTTCTGGCGAGGGCTCTCCTCCTGGTTTGCAGACTGCCGCCTTCTTGCTGTATCTTTCCATGGCGGTGGGGAGGTGGAGGGGAGAGGGGGAGAGAGAGACAAAGAGAGGGTGGGGGAGAAGGAGAGGAAGAGGGAGGGGAGGGGAAGGGGAGATGAGGGTGCATGTGCATACTAGCTCCCCAGCTCCCTAGTATCTTTTCTTTTAAAACCACTAATCCCATCACGAGGGCCTCACACTCATGACCTCATCTAAACATAATCACCTCCCAAAGGCCCCATCTCCTAAACCCATCACATTGGGAATTAGGCCATCCACATATGGATTTGGGAGGGGATAAACATTAGGTCCCTAGCATACTCCTACCCCTCCCTTTACTTAGCTGTCTCCTGTTTCTCTTTGAGATTTCTCTTTGGATGCTACTTCTTCCAGGAAGCCTTCCCTGATGCCCCCTGAGACCGGGTTAGGGGTGCCCTATGTGCTTGCAAAGCTAATGCTGACCCTTCCTCTCATTAGAAAGAGAGTTTTGTTTCCTCTCCAGATGGCCTGGTCCTGTTCTCAAATGGAGCCCCCTAACCTTGGTGCTGTTTCAACCCTTCCAGGGCCACCGGGACCCAAAGGTGACCAGGGGAATGAAGGAAAGGAAGGCCAACCTGGCATCCCTGGATTGCCTGGACTTCGAGGTAATGGGGAGGCCTGGAGACCCCCAAATCCTCCCCAACTCTCTATTTTCTCATCGGTATAAAGGGTGGGGCTCCCAGGGCCGCCCCCGCCAGCTCAGCTTCAGTCTCGGGCTGCGGAACCACTTCTTCTGCCTTAGTGACTCGTCGGGTCGGGCCTTGTGCACACCCTGCACTAGATCCAGAACTCTGTGGCCGCAGAGCCCTTCGACTCTGGGAACAGACGTGGTGTGAGGAGGGAAGAGAAGGAAATTCAGTCAGTCCTCCCTGAGGTCCTCCCACCCTCCTGAGGCGGCCCTTCCTCTCCCAGACATTTGACATTAGCACTGGAGGAATCATTAATTACCGCCAGACAGGTTTCTCTGTGTCATAAAAAAGGCCCAAGGAAAGCCACTAGCATTCCAAGCAGGAAAGAACAATTAGTGGGTTAATTAAGGGCGCTCTGCTTTGCAGAGATAACTGGGCTCCAGACGGGCTCGGTCAGGGTGTTTGTTTATGCTGACTCTCGTGGTGCAATCAGTGCTGCTGCAGCCACGGGCCTCGTGGCCAGGAGCCCTGGGGCCCGTCCCGGCAGCAGGCCACCCACCCCATCTCCTGACCCTCTCAGCCTCCAGCTCTTTTTGCTCCACCTCCCTGTGTTTACCAAAGGGAAGGGATCTTTCTGGTTTTTCTTAAGCAGGATGAGGGGCTGTTCATCTTCCTTTTATTTGATCGTGCCCATCCCTCTGTCCCTCCCTAAGTATCAGTGAGCCCTTTGGAGCCAGCATGAGTAAAGCTGACCAACCATGAACTGGAACTTCGGGAAGAGCAGGGCTCAGATCCTGCTGTAACACTTTTTGCTGTGTGTCCTTGGCCAGGTTCCTTCACCTCTCTGGGCCCCAGTTGCCTCATTTGTAACACAGATGAAATAATACCTCCCAGTTTGTTGTGATGATTAAATGAGAAACATTGTGAAAAGCACCCAGAGCAGTGCCTGGCACATAGAAAGTACTCAAAAAAAAAAAAAGTTTGCTGAATCAGTCTCCAGCGTGCCAAAGGGTAAAGGGACATTTCCTAAAGGAGGTTGGTACCCCCACCCCGCCACCACTCACAGAAGCACTGGACCTTTCAGGGGGAGGGACCCGAGCCTAATGCATTAAAGGTGCTCTTGGGCAGGGTCTATGTGGACCTGTTGGTCTCTGCTTTTGCGGCACCTTTAAATGAACCTAGGAAAGCCAGGGCACAGGGCTCGCGACTGAGCGTCGAACCAGACCGTGACCTCCAAGGGCCCTTCCTGTTCTGTGTCCGAGGCTCCACTGTTCCTCTCTTCTCTCCCCAGGTCTGCCAGGGGAGAGAGGTACCCCAGGGCTGCCTGGCCCCAAGGGCGACGACGGGAAGCTGGGGGCCACAGGACCAATGGGCATGCGCGGGTTTAAAGGTAATAACGGATGTCAGCGCACTCCAGAGCCCCGGGCAGCACCGGAGCGGGTGGAGCAGGGCTCTCGTCCTCGCTCTGCCTCTGGCCAGCAGAGCGACCTTGGGCAAGTCACTTCATCTCGGGAAGCATTGGTTTTTTTCTCTAAAAAGTAGAAATCCTCATGACGCTGTATCTCGCAGGGCTGCCAGGATGGGTAAATGAGCACATAGGTGTGAGAACGCTCTGCAGACGCCAAAGTCCTATAGAAATGCAAGGCTGCCTTCCTGCTGCTTGCAGCCCAGACATGTGGCTCAAGGAGGCCAGTGGGGGCGCCCCACAGAACAGACACAGAGGCCGCAGGCCCACCACCTGCCAGATTCCAACTTTAATTCAGTTCTCAGATTTGCATTTCCAAACAATGTTTCTTCTGATTTTTTTCCTTCCTATAGATAGTTCCCATGTTCATCTTTAGGGGAACTTGCTTTATAGTCAGTCTGTCTTTCCACGCTCCTCTCAGAATTGTCCAGATCTGCTGTCTTCACGGCAGAAGATGAACATCTGATGCTCTTTCCTCAGGCTTCCTGCTCTTCACTTGTTAAATGAAAACCAAGAAAAAAAGTCCTATTAATCCTTCCCAACCTGTGTCTAGGATGGTCCCTTGATCTTGGATCACTGGGAAATTTTATTTTACTTTCTGGTTGATGATGAAACATGCTAAGGTTTTCCTTTCTTTTATGATCCCATTTGAAAAAGTTGATATTAAAACAGATTATAAAGCAGCACGTGCTTGTTGAAAAAAATGAGACAATATATAGAAGTGTGTAAAGTAAAAAGCGAAAAGTGAATCCTTACCCCCAGCCCCCTCAGCTCTTACTTTTTAGAGTAACCACCGTAGACGCTTTGGAGCACATCCTGCCAGACATTTTTCTAAGCACATCCCTATATACACATACGGTTGCCTGTGATTTTTTTCAAAACTTGGCATTCTCCTCTGGAAATTGTTGGCTTGTTGTTGTTGGCTTTTACACTGGACAGTATGCCATGGGCTTTTGATTTACAGGATATCTTTCTGGAGGTCTTTAGAATAGAAGTCCCTTATCATTTTCATGCCCACTGAGTGGTGCCAGGACTTCTACTTCTTCGTAGAGGGAGATGCCAGCTGGGAAAGGAGGTCTGCCCCTTTAACCATGTCCTGGGAAGGAAATTCCACAGTTCCCGGGGAACCCACACCGTGTTTTATGGTCTCTCCCACGGGAAAATCTGCCTGACATGTATAACCTGCCTCTCTCTTCCGTAACTGAAGCCCCTCTGTCTTGTTTGTCCCCGTGCTTGGATGTGGACTTCTACAACCTTGACCATTGGATGGGAATGTCTTTGCTTTGTCGTCTTCCTGCTGAATTCCACGTGCCCTTTGAGGCTGCTCTTCTGCGCTTTAACTGGGAGGGAGTGAGGCTTTCTCAGAGGGCCCCCTCATCCTCCCAGGTGCCCAGAGCAGGCAGCAGAACTGCCTGTGCTCTGACCCCGCCTACCCAGTCCCTCTTGGCTCCTGCTGGGAGGCTTCTCTGGTCTTGCGTTCATAAGTCTCCTGCAGATAACACTGTGGTCACAATTAGGGTTTGTTTCCATTCCTAATGCCAGTTTTCCTCCTGTTTTTTTAGGTGACCGAGGCCCGAAAGGAGAGAAAGGAGAGAAGGGAGACAGAGCCGGGGATGCCAGTAAGGAAATTCTTCTGGGGCCACTGGATACTGTGGGCACAGGGGGAGCTGTCACCCAAGCAGCCCCACGAGTTTGGGGGTCCAGAGGCTGGACCGCCCAGTGTAGGAATGGCCGTCTTTCTGACGCGGTGCTTCCTAAAATGTTTACAAGGGAAGCCAGCTTATCTAGTTGTGCCACTCTCTTCTGGGGTTTATTTCCCCCCAGAGGGCTACATGTAGAATCTTGGAGAGATACCAGTGAAGAGTGAACAGAGTCTCCTAGCCAAGTTTCAAAAAAAAAAAAAACACCCCAAACCAGCACGGCGTATTATGAAATGTGGCCGTCCCATGTGAGGGGACATGCAGATATCCCATCGTCGGGCATCCGTGAGGGCTGGGCCCGGGGAAGCAGAGCCTGCGTTGCAGGTTCTCTGTGCACACTCAGGGACAGGGACCACTGCAGAGTCACAAGCCGGACCCAGGTTGGGGTCTCCCTAAGGCTGATCTTGCTTGGTTTCAGTAGGTCCTTCAAGTGACACTTTCACCCCAGGACCAGAAGGAGCCCTTGCTCCTGGAAAGGCCCAAGGCCCCTGGACACTTAACTTACCTGCTGCTTCCTCTGCCCTCCCCTTCCCTGGGGCGGTGACTAAGGATCACTTTGTCCTCTAAAGTGATGGACCCAGCAGAGGAAAACCAAGGAAGTGCCCAGGCCTACCCCAGACTTCCCGTGCCCACGTCACTGAGATGCTAAGACCCACAAAGCAATCTGTGTGCTTCGCAGTGTCTCTGGAGTCCCTTTCGAGGGCTTGACTGGCTGTGTGTGGCTAGACGAGGCCATCTGGTGGACCCCGTCTAAGGCTCTTTTATCTAAAGCGCTGGGTCCTGAATGTTGTCTTGGGGCGCCGCTTTCTCCTGCTCTGTGTGTTGACTGCGTCTGATAGGAGGCTGCCAAGGTAGCTGAGAAGGATCGTGGCATTTAGTTCCGAGAAATAAATAACTCCTGACGGGGGTGGGCAGGAAGGGAGGAACTGTGTGGATAGATGACCTTTGAGAGGGAGATCAGAAACGCCGCCCGCATAGCAGAGGGGCTCCTTGTCAGGAAGGCTTTGGCAGCTGTTCTTGCAGCTGACTCGAGAGAGGACAGCGGAGTCTGAGCTAGCAGGGCATTAGTTACCGTTGCTAGGAAGGATGGTTTGGTCCCCGTCGACCTTGCTTCAGTGGGTTTTGCGCTTGGACCAGGCTCCGAGGCTGGGGCATGGCGTGAGGAGGTGGGAGCCGGAGCCACAGTGGTGGGGCTCCCCGGGGATGGGTGGGGAGGTGTGGGGGAAGGGTGCCCCATCCGCTTGGCCCTGGAGCCGGGTGACTGCAGGCGGGAGGCTGAGATCAGCGCTGGACGGCTCTCCTTGGGGACAGAGGCTTTCTTTCCTGCCGCCAAGAGACTACACCCTCACTGGAGCCCAGAACTCAGACATGGGCCTCGGGGCCTGAGCTTGCACAACGTTCTGCACTTTTCCTTCCTGCTCGCTGGCAAGTCGCCCCGCCCTAGCCCGCTCCAAATGGTCTCCGTGGGCACAGGAACTGAAAGGTGAGGGGGCTCAGCAGAGGCAGCCGCATTGCCAGGAGGCTGCACACAGCACGAGGCACACGGGAGTGGCAGGACACAGACACTGGGAGGCCATCTCCGTCTTCCCTCTTCCAGAGGCCCAGGGAGGAGGACTGCCTTGTTCCTCTGAGCTAGACTCTCAGCCCTGGACTTCCGCTAACGCTGGGACGAAAGCTCCGGCCCCAGCCTCAGACGGTAGGGCCGGGTGCCTTAAAATCTCTAGGGATTCCCTCTTTTACTGGTAGCTCCGACACCGCCTCGGGCTGACCAGAAAGGTTGAAGCTACTCAGGGCTGAGGTCTGGGCCCCCCGGGGGGTCGTCTTCCCACAGCCTCCACCCCGCGGTCGCTGCCGACCACGCCAAAGCCACGCTCATGTTTCCGAGGAACTCGGGTCCCAGAGGCGTTAAGGATATCCCTGAGACCCGGGCTCCGCGCAGAGCGCCACGGCTCATCTTTCAGGAAAGTGTGGAAATTCTGACGGACACGGTGCCCATGTCTGGGGCTTTCTTAGTCACTGCCTGGGCCCTGGGCAGCCCTACCGTAGGACCCACAGCGTGGGAAGAAAGAGCTCTCGCCACCCTCCTCCAAAAGCCAGTACTGTGGGGAGGGAGCCCTCAGCCAGGCTGGTCTCTGGTGACCTGGCCTTGCCTCAGGACACCAAACCTTTCCCAGGCACCGCCTCCGTGCACACCTTTAGCAGCAGAAACCAACCTAAAGTTCCAGCAGGCGGAGATGTTACCACAGTAAAGGGATTGGTGAGAAAACAAGGTAGTTACCCCTCCCTTGGATCCTGGAAGTCTGGGGTTTTCATTCGAGGAGAGCATGACACGGAAGGCTTCTCAGGACCCGTTTGAGTCAATAGTAAAATATTTTTCAGAACAAAACTCTTGCCATTGTTTACCCATGTTTTGATCCGGAGTCCTAGGATTTGGGGATTGGACAGGTTTCAGATCAGCTCCTCTCCCTGTCTCCACCCCGCCCCACCAGCGCGATGAACAGAGCCCAAGAACAGAGAGATGGAGGGAATCCCCGAGGTCACCCGCTTAGGTCATGGCAAGTTGGGTCTAGAATCCAGATCTCCTGATTTCTGCTCGATGAGAAACAAAGATTTTTCTTTTTTTTCTCAGGCCAGGGCGATAAGTCATTCTGTTAGATGTTTGGCTTTCGGAAGTTTGGCCAAAGAAAAAAAAGTTACATATACACATCTCAAGAGAGAAAGCTATTTGTTTTACCCTAGTATAGGGTCCGTTGCAAGAAAAATAAATAGTGTTTTTGCAACCAAGGGGTGGGTAGAAGATTCAGTTTTGTTTAAGTCCCACAGTGTGAATTTAAAGCAGGATGTAAGTTCAGATTGTTTAAAAAAAAAACCTTTCTCAGTTTGGTTTCACGTGGAAAACATACGCAGATGACACGGGTGAATTCTAAACCAGCGCTCGCTGTTAGTTACCACTGGTGGCTCAGAGCACTTGAAAGATGTTCAAGGCTTTTTGCGTGTTTTCAATATTTAGGGAAGTCAGTTTGGGGATGGGGGGCCCAGTCAGCGTGCAGCGTCAGTGGCAACTCAAAAATGATCAGGGAGGGGGTTTCGAGACAGTTTTTCCCACAGTTGCTGAGATGTTTTTATCTCTATGTTAGAATATGAGGCAAAGAGAGTGCTTTTAGGAGACGGACTCCTTTCCTTCCATCTCCGCCTAGCGTTGGCTTCCCCAGGTGCCCTGGGCAGTCTGTGTAGGACGGTATTGCTCCGAAAGTCAGCCTCGTCTCGGGCACCTCCGTAAAAGCGACTGCACCTTTTATACGCAAATATATTTCTTTATTGACTAAACCACACATGCACCCTCCATTTCTTATGTAACTTCCATACCACAGCAACAACATGACTTAAGAGTAAACTGGGCTGGGCGTGGTGGTTCACGCCTGTAATCCTAGCTCTCTGGGAGGCCGAGGCGGGCGGATTGTTTGAGCTCAGGAGTTTGAGACCAGCCTGAGCAAGAGTGAGACCCTGTCTCTACTAAAAATAGAAAGAAATTAATTGGACAACTAAAAATATATAGAAAAAAATTAGCCGAGCATGGTGGCGCATGCCTGTAGTCCCAGCTACTCGGGAGGCTGAGGCAGGAGGATCGCTTGAGCCCAGGAGTTTGAGGTTGCTGTGAGCAAGGATGACGCCACGGCACTCTAGCCTGGGCAACACAGTGAGACTCTGTCTCAAAAAAAAAAGAGTAAACCACACTTCTAAGAAACATTAACCACTCACAGGTATTATGCTATTAATAAACCCGTGCCTGGTGCTGTGTGCAGTAGTTTCTGTGCTCAGCACGTCACCTAGTTCGCATGGTGCTGTTCAGGAGGCAGATCGCGTCCGTGTTAGACAGATGAGGCGGAGGGTGGGGAGGATTAGGAACTTTCCCTGGGTCACTGGAGTTTGTAAGGGATGAAGCAGGACACGATCAGGTCTGTCTGGCATGGAGTCCACACTCTCACGCCTTGTGCTGCCATCTTTGGTTCTGTTCAGCCTGGGGTCCTCGAGGGCCACTCTGTCTCTTCTTGGTGGTTTATTTAGTATGAAGGTGCAAATCTCTTAGCGATTCTCAGCTACTGTTAAGGTCCTCTCCTTTGTTTCAGATTTTGCTCTTAATTTCGCAAGGCCTTGGCAGCCTTAACGTGCTTCTATGGCTCTGAGATAGATCCAGTTGGGCCACCTTCCCTACTTTGCTTGCCTTTTACCCGCGTGGTGACCGTGGACACCGAGCACAGCAGGTGTGCCGAGACCGTGTACGCGGAGGCGCCCGGCACTTACCTGCCAGCGTCCGTTCACTCATGCATCTGTTCAGTTTATGCATTCGTTCATTCGTTCTCTTTATCCCTATAATACCTAGTAATTGCTCAGCAGATGCAAACGCAAAGTGTACGTGGAAGTGGAAAACTGTTTCCCAAACGTTTCCCCCCCTGAGTTCATGTCTAGCAACTGAAAATACAGTGGGAAACAAAATTCACTTGGGAAAATTGTCCTGAGGCAAAAACCAAAGCACAGAGGGAGAAACAAGAGAGAAAGAAAGAAAAGTGAGCTCAGAGAAATGGTCAATGAGGTAACGTTGGGAACAGCGTGAAACTGAGCTCTGTGAGCTCCAGGGAGGCATGGAGGCCAGAGGGACGGAGGGGACCCCGGGAAGGGAAGGGACTGGCCCCCTCACTTCTGTCGTGGAGAGAAGATAGGGGTGTGGGTAGAAGGAAAATATTTAGGGAAGAGAGCGTTGGCTTATTCGTTTATTTAGCAAACGTGCATTGAGTGTTCACCATGTACCAGCTCCTGACTGCGGGCTGGGGAACCGAGGTAAGGCCTGGCCTCCCCTTTGGGGAGCTCATAACCCAGCAGGGCAGAAAGACACATCAAGCCATTATAGCAGACTGTGGGGAGGGCTGTAGGAGAGGTGGGTGCAAAGGCTAATTTTGTCCCCACATGTGTGTATGTGGGCAGTTAGCGAGGT